ACTTTGGCTTTCATGGATTTGTTTTAGTTATCTTCAGCTTCAACTTGAACTTACCTATGGGTGACAATAATTTTGTTTTAAAAGACTGCCTACCTGTGTACAGCCCTGTGCAATTGCTCTTTGGCTTCTCCTTACAGGGAATTGCTCAGGAAAGCTGAGGAGGCCACTCTTGGGCCATTATCCTTTTAGTTTTCTTTCAGACATGTCTGGTGAGATCTTAACCAGCTTTTTCCAAGCTCTTCTTTTTTCCTTCTCCCACAATAATTAATAATAATTTTATTACTTTTCTCCTACCATAATAATTTATAATAATAATTTTCCTTCCTATCTCTCTCAACTAATTTCTAATACCTGGGAGCTATACAAAGCTAGAAACCTGACTAAGACAGCTGCAGGGAGAGGTTTGGACTGGGAGAATGAAGGCGAGCAGGAGGAAGGGAGCTGGCACTTGACAACTGAGCTGGATAAGCCCTTGCAGTAAACTGCTCATTCCATTCTTCTACACCAGGACCAGGACGAGGTTTGCTCCTGAGGGAGAAGTGGTGCTCATATTTGGGTCAAAATTAATTCTTCTACCCCTTCTTTCTTGACTTATTTGTGAACCAGTCACCTTGGCTAAGAATCCCTAAGAATCTCAGGGGTAAAAGCTCAAAGCCATTACAGATATGCTGCTTCTACATTCTGAGAGCGTTCTTTGTTCCTGAGGCAAGTAAATTCCTTTCAAAGAATAAAATTCATTGCAGTACAACTTGTGCTTACTCCAGAACTGATCCTACAAGTCTGAGGGAAAAGCCTACAGAGAGGAATGGGGAACTGTGCAGAAGAAAAGAAAAGAAAACACTACCACCACCACCACCACCACCATCAAGAACAACAAAACCAAATGCAAAAGGAGGCTCAGTGGAGAGCGAGAAAGTCTTTGTGTGCACGCACTCCAGTAGAAACCTCTGCTTGTAACTATGAGAAGCTCCGCTTGCTGGTTTCAGTTTGGGGAGTTTTATGAACAACGAAGAAACAGAATTTCAAGTTTGCTACTGAAGAAGAATAGTGAAGACCTTTAGTCCATTTGAGATTTCACCAATAGAGACTTGAGATTTGCGAACCTGCTCATGACTTCCTTGCTTTTTAAATCTCTCCTGTTTTAGAGTACTTCTTAGAGTTCTACCTAATGAAATTTTCTTCCCCTTCACATAGGTTACCTCTGTTTTCATGCTCACACTCTTGGCCCTGGTGCCTGGAACAGCCTTTCTTCAAACCACTTCCTCCCCTTGTTCAAAACGCACCCCAAACTTGACGCCCTTTCTCTGTTCCCACAGAATCTTGTGAATACCTCTGTCAGGGCACTTACCATGTTATTTGGAAAGGATATGTTTGCACGTATCTCTCACACTGGACTGAAAGTTTGGGCAGCAGGGACTGTTTCTTAATTACCTTGAGTGCCTAGCCCTTTGCCTAGAATACAGCAGGACCTTGGTGATGTTTTTTGAACTTGGGCAGAAGTGATAGGAAATCATAGTGTTTGTTAAAACTGAAATGTGACCAATTATCATTTGCAATATACCAGTGTTATGGATTAAATTCTATCCCCCCAAAATATGTGTTGGAATCCTAACCTATACCTGTGGATATAATCCTGTTTGGAAATAGGATTTTCTTTGTTATATTAACTAGATCAGACCCGAGTAGGGTAGGTTCTAAATTTAATCACTTCTGAGTTATAAAAATAGCAGATTAGACACAAGGAACCAAGGAATGAAAAAACGAGGGAATAACCAGAACTACCTGTAAAGAAGGAATTGACACAACTGAGACCCTTATTTGGACTTGTAGCCTCCAGAAGTGTGAGAAAATAAATTTCTGTTCTTTAAAGCCACCACTTGTGGTCTTTCTGTTATGACAGCACCAGGTAACAAAGACAACAAATTAAAAAAATTATCCCTGGAGGGGAAAAAAGACTGTACAATGAAAAGAAAGAGAAAACTACTCAAGGCTGGAAGATATAAATTTGAAAACAGCTGGAAACTATGGATGGGAAATAAATAAATAAATAAATAAAAACTTTTCATTGATAATATAGAAAGTATTTTGTAATAGAGCATCAGAAGCTTAAATAATCCTATAATATGTGCTAATACAGAATTACCATATTACGCTAATGCAAAAGGTAGGACAGTGAAGTGGTTTAGAGCATGTGCTTGAGAGCCAGATTTCAGAGTTCATATTCCAGCTCTTCCATTCCCTAGCTGTGTAAACAGAGGCAAGTTACTTCTCTTCTCTGCAGCTTTATCATCTGTAAATGCTGATTCTAGTAATGCTTTCTTCATAGGACTATGAAGAGAATTGAAAGAGTTCACATATATGAAGCACATAAAAAAGTGACTGACACATAGAAAGATATCTTATTAATATATATCAATATATATTTATTATTGTTATTATTAAAATTCCCTGTCTTAAAGCACAACCCATGACAACAAAAACAAGAAAAGTAAAGTTTGCAGGTCTAACATATTTACATAAGTAAATGCTAAGGGCAATGGGTATTAAGATGGCAGTGTGGGTCATTCATTACTTTTAAAGGGGCTGTTAAAATCATACTTTCATAAACGCTTTGCTTCGAGGGTAAACCCACAAGAGTAGAAGGCACATAGATTTCCCCAACCCTATCTCCTACTTTCCCCTTCTATGTTGTGTCAATGTCAAATTTTGTGATTTGTCATTAAATACAAACTATTAGTTAAGTACAATAAAGATTCTTTTGAAATACACTTTGGGAAGGATGAACAGTTGTTTTAAGAATATAAGACTAGACAATTACAGCTTCATTGTTTTTGAATTCGCATACCTATTAGAGTTCTCAAGTAAGCAGAATTTGGAAATAAAAATTTCCAAATCTTGGTCTGAAGTCTTTTGTGGTGATAGCTTCATAATCCTTATTTGAATTTATACTAGTAGGCATTTTTCCAATCTGTAATTTCCAGTTCTGAGATATCTGGCCCTTTAGACTTCTAAGGAATACACACACACATACACACACACACACACACACAAGATTTCTAGGCTCTTGACACTTTATCGATATTCTTTCCTTCCTTTCTCCTTCTCATCCTCCATCTTTGTTTTCGATAAGGCTCATAATAGAGTATTGCACACTTTGGCTGTTTGCCTCAGTCTCCTTTACTTTGCAGACTCTTTCCTTCTACTATAAGTAGTTCGACAAATATTTATTGATCACCTATTCTTTGCAGGGATATGAGCTCCATAAATGCCAGTACCATGTCTATCATACTTGTTATATTTCCAGTGCACATAATGGGCATTCCAAAAATATTTGATAAAGAAATATGAATAAAAGTCCTATACTGAAGCAGTGGATTATAGTAAAATCAGCATAAGTTTTAGATCTAAGTTCAAGTCCCAGTTTTTCTAATTATTATGTATATAATCTACAGTAAGTTGCATAACAAACTTTTATTTCTTTTGTAAAATTGGGATAATACTTACAAGGATTGAGAATTCAGCAAGATAATAGTTTATTAAAACACCTACTGAGTGTATAGTATCTCCTAGAGAGAATATCCCAGAGACTATTTCAAAATATGAGGCTTTAAAAACTGAGATACAATTCCTGTCCTTAAGAAATTCCCAAATATAAGTTAACTCACAGAATATTATGGAAATGTTATGGGTGTTCAAAGTAGGGAGAGATGACATGTGTTTGAGGGAATCAGGAAAGGAAGTGGCATATGAAATGGTCCTTGACGGATAGCTAGGATTTCAACAATGAAAATGGGCAGGCATACCCAGGTTAAACAGAGAAGAACATAAGCAGAGAGGTAAAAAGGAACTAAGTGTGACTGAAGAAAGGGCAGTTGCTCTTTTGGCTGAAATGTAGGGTTTATACAGGGCAGTATTGAGAGATAGACAAGAAAAGTGGCGTGAGGCCATACTGATGCAGTGTCAAGCTGGGGAGGTTCTTTAATCCAGTAGACAGTGAGAAACTCCCAATGGTTTGGGGGCAGGTATATGGCATAATAGGAAGATTACTCTTGCAGTAGTGTCGGATGGAATGGAGAGTGAAAGCGCCTAAAAGTGGGGAGACCAGTCAGGGGAGGCTATTGCCGTATTTCAGGGAAGAGGTGATACAGGCCTGCACTAGAGTGAGGGCAGAGGGAATGCAGAGGAGGACTCAGGTGAGGCACATTTCAGAGAGGCAGTGTGTGTGACAGGTGGCTTCACAAGGGAGAGAGGCAGAGACCCAGGTGACTGGAGCCACTTACACAATAAGTAAGTCACAGGAGGGTGTCGGTTTAGGTTTTGGAAACGGGTCAGTCTGAGGTTTGGGTTGCACTCTGCTCCCACCTTCCCTTTTTCAGTTCCTCTTTTTTTCTGGGTCGCCTCTACTTCCCTCCATCTCTCTCCACTAAGTAATTGAGTTCTCCACTCTTAACCCGACCATATGTTTAGCTTCACACTCCAATTTCGCTTCACATCACTGCCTCCCATAGTACTCGGACAGCCACCACGACCACAGGTTAGGTCTTGCGCTGCAGGACATTCCACCGGGAAGACCCCCTATCGCCTTCGCCTAGGCAGCTTCCACGCTTGCGCCCCCACGGCTCTTCGACCAATAGGCAGGAGGTACTGCTGGGATTCGACTAGTCATTGGTTGGCTGAACCGTGGTGAGAGATGGTGCGGTGCCCGTTCTCGGCAAGGGTGAGAGCTGTGGGCGGTTGTTAAGGCGACCGTTCGTGACGTAGCGCCGACAGGCCGAGTAGTCCCCAGATGATTGGCTAGAAGATCGGACGATCCTTTCTTATTGGTCGCAGGCTCACCCGGCTCCGTGCGTGCGTAAGTCGAGGGTTTCTTCCGCTCTGGGTCTCCGTTGACTGGAGACAGCCGGAACGCCGGCGCCCAGGTTCGGTGGCCTCTAGTGAGATCGAGAGGTGAGGCCGGCGGAGGCCATGAAGAGGGGCTGGGGCGGTGGGTGGGGGCGGGATTGGGCCTGGTTGGTAGCGGTTTTCGAGTTTCTCCCGACCCGGGAAGTGGCTGCCGGCAGCTCCAGTCGGCCTGGCTGGACCTGCGTTTGCGGCTTTGTCGGTGTGGCAGCCCGCCCGCTGGCACTGCGAGGAGACGTCCTTGAGGCCCGGCCGCTCGAACGGCAGATGGCACCACTCTCGGGGGAGCCTGGGACCAGACTGGGCCTGACGGGCGGGCGGCATCCGGCCTCTTCTTGGCCGTAGTGACGATTGGTGTACTGGCGGGGCATGCCCCTGTTCGGCGGTCCTGTCCGAGGTGCTCAGTGCTGGCCGCGCAGTTACAGTCACCGGGGCTCCGGACAGTGCCAGGCAGGGTGACTACGGGGGCCCCCTAGTTCGAGGAATGCCGCGAGGCTGTGGGGCAAGCCCGGCGCCGGCAGCTCGCGGAGAGGACGGAAAAAGAGTCTGCGCGGTCCCTGATTAGTTCACGCCCAGGCGTTGCTGTTCGTCAGCACCTTTTTTAAGTAACGGAGGAAAATCTCCATAAATGCTCTTGACTAACTCACAGCCGTGGACGAACGGGTTGAGAGGTTGCAGAGTCCTCTGTAGGGACTCGCCCAAAGACTTAAATGGTTTCTTTTTCTTGTGAGGGGAGTAGTCTTTTTGGTGCTGGTATCTTTTAGTTTATACCTTGTAGATTTTTGGGATTTGGTTATGGTTAGGGAAAATGTACCTTGGAGGTTCAAAAATCTCACAATTTCTGCGGTAGGAGGAGGTCGATGTACTTTATCTTAATACTCGTTTGAAATATTTCAGGGTTTTGAGGACATGCCTTCTTAGACTTGCTCTAGAAAATTTATATAGGAAGCATTTGTTTCTGATTCATACTGAATAATTGTGCATAATTCCAGCGTCTCACTAGGTAAAGAATGTATTTTTTGTTTGGTTACTTGTGAATTTATATTCCTGTCCATGCAGTAAAAGACCTTTTATGATTTAGAGATAACCTAGCAAAGGCCTGGGCCGTACTTTGGGGATAGACTGGATTTTGCAGGCCTGCTTTCTTTTAGTGTCTTTCCGGAATTTATGGTAAGCTTGACAGTAAGGAAAAACAGGAATTAGCAAAATGAAGGTTAAGAATAGTAATAATTATTCATAGATTACAGCATTAACATATGAAAACTGTTGTGTGTATGGCACAACCATTTCAAAATAAAATGAGTGTGTGTGTGTGTGTGTGTGTGTGTTTTCCTTCTGGCCTAGTTTCATAATAGCCACATTATAGAATCTATTTTGGTTGACTTATATGAAATTGCTGATATTTGAAATTTGACCGTTTCTTACCGTCAAAAATAGAGGTTTTATATGGTTTCACTTAATACTGTCTTTGTCAGAGAGCTTTGGAACTCCAGCTTCATCCAAATGTTATAGATGAAGAAGCAAGTGAATGAAAAGAGAGATGTGACTCACACAGTCATACAGGTAGCATATAATAGAGCTGGGTGTAGAATCCGTATTTCCTCATTTTGAGTGCAGTTTTTTTTTTTTTTTTTTCCTCTCTAGGGTACTACGCTGAGAGCAGAATGCTAGATCCTGTTGGGTTTTAAAACGACTGCAATATAAACCATGGCTCTTAGCCTTCAAAGAGACCAAACGCACACATTAACTAATTTGAGAACAATGTAAGAAGACAGTGTATAATCAAGTACTGGAATGTGTAGAACAGGAGGAGTGTTGAGTGAGAGGAAAGAATCAGAGTAGGATGCCAAAGCATCCTTTTTCACAATTGGCTGTGCTAGTTGGTTTCTGTAGCAGTTTGAATTAGAGTTTAAGGATTCCATTCTTTTAAAGTCTGAGAAGTGTTTGCAGCGTACTTAAGCAAGGCATATGTTGCCTGTTTAACTTGTTTTTTAAATAAAATTACAGCATGGCTTAAGTGCTGTCTGTTGAATTTTCATGAGATATCCTGTAGCCTACTAGTGCCACTTGCAACTGCTTGTGAATGTGGAGGATTGGGTTCCGTGGCATGTAAATGCGTTGCACAATCATGAGAAATAGGGAGGGTGCTCATGAGAAATGAGACTGTTTACAATTATGATTACTTTTGACACACCTGCATACATTTGACTGCTCCGTTTGTATTTTCAAATAGGTGGTGTTCTGTGTTTGGAAATGGCTCACAGGATCATGTGTAATTTTTTTCTTGAATGTTACAAAGACTCCTTTACACCTAGGAAAAAAATGTTGCAGAATTGACAATGCTACCATGAAACCTTTTGAGGGGAAAACATAATGTGCCTCATGTATCATTATGAGTTAATAATGATAAACCAATTGTGATCAAATTGAGGTTCCTTCCTGCTAGCAGTTCAGGTTTTACTTCAACTGAATTAACTTTTTAGTAGGGAAAAAGGCTCAAAGAGTAATTTTGTTTGATAGGAAATAATCTGAGTTGAGGGCTTTTTTTGGAAAGGGGATTAGAAGTCATTTTGACGTAGTTTATTATTGTGGTACATATATATATACGTAACAAAACATTTGTCATTTCAACATTTTTACATGTACACTTCACTGGCATTAATTACGTTCATTGTTTGTGCAACCATCACCACAATCAGTTTCCATATTTTTCCATCACTCTTAATAGCAGCTCAGTGCCACCTAGGCAGTGACTCCCCCTCATTTTGACATAGTTTTGAAACTTGTTTTTAGTTAATTCACTTTCTGAAACTTTGATGCTAGTTGCTCATTTAGACTAGTTTGTAGGTTTTTTTTTTTTTTTTTAATTTAAAAGTAAGAAGGAACTATGTGATAGTAGACCATTATGAGGCTTTTGGTTGTAATTAAGTTTAGGGTCCAAATCTAAGGTATGATTAAAGCTCTCCAGTAGTTTGTAAGTCCCACCACCACCAGTTGCCCCAGTACCTGCTAATTTAATGGAAAGTATTTGTTCGTTTTCCAGTGTAGTACATAAAATATAGCTTCTCCTCAATCCCCACCCCCTATTAATATGTTCCTGAATGGCTTATATTCAGCCTTTTATCTTGGGGAGGGGTAATATTATATCCATAGCTAGGTGACTTAGGTCTGTTTCAAGGTGCCGATAAATTGCATGTTGCTATAAAGTTGGTATGAGTCAGAATCGACTCTATGGCAACAGGTATAGTTTAAGAACTTGTTTTTAATTAAACAGGTATTTATTGAACAGCGGCTGTATTGAGTGCAAGGTGCTGGAGGGTAAAATGTAAGACACAGGGTGGAAGGTTAAAAAAAAGCATGAATAAACACAGGCAAATGCTTGACACATTGATATACCTTGGTGGGTGCCAGACATTTTAAATTTCAACCTACATGTTATGTTGGAACCCATTCTATACACACACACGTAGAGTTTAATGAAACGTAAAGTTTTAAGAAATAATACCTACCCATACTACATGCTTTACCCTTGGCTATTTTTTTATGTTATTATTCTCTATTTTAGTTAAAAGAATTAGTTCTGATTCACAAAATTGATTTCATGATCTAATGAAGGGTTGTGACATGAGGTTTGAAAACCAGTTATCATGGCTTGGTATGGTTGAAATGTAGAGAACATGGAGTGATGTAGTGAGAGGTGAGGTTTGGTTATTGATTTGGTTCCTAAAAGCTACTCTTCTTTTCTTTCAACCCTTTAGATAGCTTTATGTCTTCTTTTCCTTAATTTGTTGCCTTTTTATTTTCTGTCTTCAATAAATCAGTCACTGTCTTAGTTATTACCATTAATGTGAGATTCGTTCATTCATTCTTGCTGGAATGGCAATAAATTGACTTACATTTTAACCTTTAATTTTAATTGATTTTTATGGGTAATTAATAGCTTTATCATAAGCATTAATTTTCATGTAAGAAGTAGGACTTACGAGTTCCTGTATTAAAGGTCAATGGCTATGTCAGATTAAAGAAATCAGAATACCAAAATTATTGTTTAGCCAGCAAACATGGGGAAATTTAGTCAAGGCAGTCATTAAATCAAAATTATATATAAATTCTGGTGGGAATATTTTGAATAATATAGACATATACTTTGGCCAGGTCTTTTTCTACTACTGTTCTGGCATTTTGATTAGCTATACGTTTTGAGAGGTTTTCACGTCTAATACTTTTCATTTGGTCTTCTAGTCTCATTATTGATTGTGGTAGAAGAAAAGTAGCCACCACAACAAAATTATAAGTCTTTTTCTTAATGTAGAGACATCTATCAGAAAAAACTTTTCTCTGGTAGCAACAACGTTAGGAAGGTTTATTAGACATCATTTTGCTAGTGACATTATATCATATGTTGGATGGAGTAAAAAAGTTAATGGGTCCCTGCCCTTGAACTTATTTACAGGAGGACACTTCTTCGGTAATTTACCATTTGTGTAACCAGAGTGTGGAGAATGAAGAGGGTGCTTATATGTATTTTATATCAGGGTAATTAGAAAATAAATGTGAATAGTTGTTTCTCACTTTTGTTTTCTACCTTATTGCTTGCCTCCTTGGCTCAGATAATATCAAGGGCTGAGACACTTCCTTTGGTTTGATCTTAGATGCTTGAATTAATACAATTTTTAAGAAAGAGTTGCTTTTAATTTAGTTGCCAGCAAGTAATAGAGGATTTAAGTGTTGTCAGTAAAGAAGTAAAACAGAATCCTCTTATTTTAATTTTATAATTCTTTTCCTGAATTATGAGGAATATCCTCAAAAGTATTATTCATATGTACAAGGCACTGTGTGTACAAAGCAGGATTTATAGCCCACTTTTCTAAAAATACAGTGAACCATCTAAGTGTTCACGCTTCATATTCCTTCCAGGATCCAAGGACCCTGTAGCTACAATGTTGTCGAGACTTTTCCGGATGCACGGCCTCTTTGTGGCTTCCCATCCTTGGGAAGTGATAGTGGGGACGGTGACACTAACCATCTGTATGATGTCCATGAACATGTTTACTGGAAATGATAAGATCTGTGGTTGGAATTACGAGTGTCCAAAGTTTGAAGAGGTTAGTGAAATTAATTTGATGATTGACTGTTTTAAGTTTGTAAAGAGTGTCTCATTTTAGAGACTATATAATAGAAAAAAGTTATGAGAAAAATCTCTTATTTTAGTATTCATGAATTTACCTGAAATCTCCATTTACTTATATATTATGGAAATGTACTAGTAATACTTTGTGTTTTCTGCACAAATGGGTGTAATTGGCTTTATTTGAGAAATATAGCTCTTATAAGTAACAATTAGAAGTTATTGTGATGATATATTGGCTTAACACAGTGGGTTGTTTAAAAATCATATTTAAATTTTGATTTGCACATTTAATAATTTTATTTGACTTGATATTTTCTTACATTTATATTACAATGATAATATGTAAACTAATGGTGCATACCAAATAAAAATTCTTATTTTTGATTGTTTATTTTAAAAGCCAAGGCTGTTGAATTTTTTTTTTCCTATCTCTCCCAATAGGATGTTTTGAGCAGTGACATTATAATACTGACAATAACACGATGCATAGCAATCCTGTATATTTATTTCCAGTTCCAGAATTTACGTCAGCTTGGATCAAAATATATTTTGGGTAATAACTTTATATATAACTTTTTGTGTGCCATCAGATTTTTTTTTTTTTTTTTTTGCTATCAAAATATACCTATTGGTTTAAATAATGTGTATGGAAATATGTGTTGCTAAAGTGTGCTGCTTGCATCCAGTAGTTTCTTTTATTGGGGATTAAACACTACATAAATTTGAGACCTTAATAATCTCGAGAAAAATAGTATTGTTTCTCTCAAAATACTGTATGAGACTAAATGTTATTTGTGTAATAAAGGATGAAATTCTTTCAATTTGTTGAATTTTGTCATTTTAGGTATTGCTGGTCTCTTCACAATTTTCTCAAGTTTCGTATTTAGTACAGTTGTCATTCATTTCTTAGATAAAGAATTGACAGGCTTGAAGTAAGTATTTATAGCCTAAATACAGTTTTTTTTGTCATGTTTTTTAAGAGCTTTTTCCCCCATGTTATAAAGGTAATATATAAATTTTCACAAGTTTAGAATATATGGGAAAATATCTCATATAATCTTACTATTAGCGAATTTTAATACCTGTTAATAAAATTTTTATAACTTCTTTATGCCAATAATAGTTTATGATCATCTTTCCATGTTAAACTTATTATTTGTCCTGGCTGTGTTCTACTGTATAAATATATTTTAATTTATTGTCTTAATCTTCTAGGTTTGGATATTTAGGCTGTTTAACTCCCTCTAGTTAAGTTCCTTGTCATGAACATCTTTGTAGCTAAATTTTTGTTCATATTCATAATCATTTCCTTAGGATATATTCCTAGGAATGGGGTAGTGGGTGTGGAGATTTTTAGAGCTTTTAACTACCAGTTTAGTTTTCAGACAAGTTGTTGATCTTTCTACAAGTAGTGATTAATGAAAAAAATGAAATTTCCCCATGCTACATTTTTACTAAGGATAACGTTTCACTATAAAATTATCAAAATGTGTTTCTGTGTAAATATATTTACATTTTTAATATTAAAGATTTTTTAAGCATATTTGCAGTAACTAATATGTTTAGCTTTGGGGATGCCACAGAAATATAGAATATACCTTCTAGTCTGCAGAAAAGTACACATACTGGTGTACATATGTACTAGAGTATCATACCATGTGTAGGGGAAAAAAAGTTCATTTCAAAAAGAATTTTTAAAACCATATTTCTTCCTTAATTGTTTCTAATCATCTTGGTTTTTTTTTTTTTTTTAGTGAAGCTTTGCCCTTTTTCCTACTTTTGATTGACCTTTCCAGAGCGAGTGCATTAGCAAAGTTTGCCCTCAGTTCTAATTCACAGGTGGGTATTATTTACGAGACAGGAATGTGAATAGTATTCCTTTTTTTAAAAATTTTTTTCCAGTTTATTTGCATTAATAGAAAGGATTAATAGGGTTTCTTCATAGCCCAAAATTTAGGAGTTGTCCAAAACTTCAAGTTTAATTGTCAAGTCCTAAGATTGATCTTCATAAGTGCCCCAGGAAAAGTCCCATTATTTTGCATCTCAACCATAATTCCATCACTTTTGGAATTTGGAATCGTCCTCAGTTTCCTTTTTGAAGATTTTCAGAAATTATGGTAATATAGCTTCTGGATAAATAGGAGTATCTACCTGGTGAAACACATCAGAGAATAGGCAGGATCTAATGGAAGAAAGCCACAGAGTAGATTTATTTCTAAACCATTGAATTAACACTAGCATTATTTCCCATTTAAACTTTTGTCTTAGTGTTTAGTAATCACTTTAAAGAACTTGACATTTTTTCAACAATATTTTATCGGTATCTGAATATACAGTAGTACATTGTTCTACCCTAATTTATGTATTTGATGAATATTTATGATCCTTTGAACATATTAAGAAAGTTATGATTATTTGAAGATGTTGAGAGGATAATATTTAGGTTTGTAATACTAACATGGTCTCATAAAAAGTTTGCAACTAAGAGCCTCCATCACTGGTAGCCAAAATGCAAAAGTTTGTAGGACTTAATTACATGGCATTTAAATGACAGGATTGATGCACCACCTCAAGGGAATATTCCCAAGAAATATTCATTGGAAAGGGAAGCAGGGCATTATCTGTTTCTTTTTTTTGTTGTCGTCTACATTATTAGCATTCTTTGCATCTTGAACACCTGTTAGCCTCATTGTATATATTTTTCATTGAGTATAAATTAGATTTTAGTATAAAGCCTAGAATTCGTTCTAACATTTTTAAAAATTACCTTATTGATATGTTTGGTCTGTGTTTTAGGATGAAGTAAGGGAAAATATTGCTCGTGGAATGGCAATTTTAGGTCCCACGTTCACCCTTGATGCTCTTGTTGAATGTCTTGTGATTGGAGTGGGTACCATGTCAGGTCAGTAAGCAGTTTTTAATACATTAAAAAATATGTAGATAAAAAGTAAAAACTGTCTTAGATTTGTACTGCTTATTCTTAAATTCTGACTTTTTAACAGTCTGACAGTACTCTTAAAATTTTTTAATTGTGTGAATATATGGGTATATCTGACCTTGTGTCTGTCTGCTTTGGTGAAAACTTAGTAGCAGGGCAGGTTATTTATTTCCCATTATTGCCATCTCTTTCTCTGTCCCACTCTTTTGATGGCTTTATGTTTGGTGTTTTTGTTTGTTGTTTGTTTTTTAACCAAGATTGTATTCCAAGGCCCATTTGAAAAGCAGCTTCCAGTCCCTGCCATTGCCAAACTAAATTAATGACTTTGTTTCTTGCTCAAGAGAGTGTGGAGTTGGACAGGTTTCTGAGTTGGAAACGTCTTGTAGGACAGTAGGGCAGATTTAATCAGAACAGTATCTAGTATTTCTTAGCAAGTTCCCAGCATTAGTCTCAACACATATATTTCCTCATCCTTATATAGGATAAAAATTGTGACCTGGCATGGAAATTTGCCAGAATGGATGTATCATGCAGTTGTGGAGGTTTCCTAATCATTAGGACTAGATTTTATGGCTTTGTAATAAAGGCCACACTTAGATAACTATTATTTTGGTCTGTTTCCTGGTGCCTTATTTTTTTCTTTGAAGAGTAAATTGAGTGTCCTCAGTAAAGAGCTTCATTCTTTTAGAATTAAGTTATCTAACTTTTAAAGGAGTAATTGACAATCAGTGTTAGCTGAGTTCTCTTCACTGGATATTATATATATTAAATACATACATGTATTAAATATATGATGTTTCTTCTAACATTCTGAGGGTAAATTTATTACTACTTATTCAGTTATTTAATCTGTCATTCCACAAAGATTTTATAGAGACTGTTTTGGGATAAAGTAAGGAAGAATGCATGGAGAACATAGTGCAACAACATGAGTTACCATTGCACAGAGAAATGGTAGTACCCAGTTTGTAAAAGCATTGGTTAAGTATGGTTTTGATGGTCCCAAGTTTGAAAGATTATATTCAGCTACTATTTAAAATGAAGGTTGTTTATAATCCTTTTGTTATTATAATTTTGTATTCTCTTGAATTTTCAAATTTGGGAGTAATTACTGTAAAATTAAATGTTTGCTTTTCTATTATTCAGTCAATTGGATGATATAATTCAGAAAATAAAGTATAACTTTGAGTTCTTGATATTAATTATTCTAGTTAGTTTTTATAGGAAAAAATATTTTATATTTCTAAGCATTTTTGTTTAATATGAGTAAATGTTTTCTATTTTCTATATATGTATATATACACATGTATATATACGTTTACATATATACGTGTATATGTGCATATTTTTGATATATTTATGTATACATATAAACATATACATATATGTATGTATATATGTGTGTATATGTTTTGTGTATTAATTAGGTTATTTGTAAAGTGAGGGAGTAAGATTAGGTAATCAAAAGTTTTTTCCTGCTCTATAATTGTGTTATCTTTTATTTGAGATTATGAAATGATACCTTAAACAGTTTGTAGTGGAATGTTTGTTAAATTTTAATCTTGAGTTGCCATTTTAAATTGTATCAGTTTCAAACAGATCAATGAAATTAACCAAGATATATAAGCTTCAACAGGCACCATAGAAGTTATATTGAAATTAGAGTTTATTCGTACACATAAGATATTTATTATGATGGCCTATCAGGAATGGGGTAACTGGCAGTATATTCTATTTTTATAAAAAGCCTTTAGTCCACAGAATTACTTTTGTGGAATTGGATCAATAGTATAGCGGTAGGGGGTTTTGCTCCATTAGAGTAGCCTGTCCTGTATACCGTTGTCTCAAAACAAAAGATTGAGGTACTACCAATTGATAAAAGGGGATTGGAAACTCATCTGCTTATCAGATGTTGTTTAAACACTACCACTGTGACTAGCATTGTGATGTTGGGGACATAGAGAAGACAGGGTGTCTGCCCTTGAGTAGTTATTTCTGCTGTGTTCTGAGCCATGGTATTACCTCTGACCTGCTGATTATTTTTCCAGTAGATGACAAAGAGCTTATTGTACATATATTTGTCTTCCTGCAAGAAGAGACCTTGTAGTGTATATAGCATTAAAAATACACCAACTTTACAAAATGTAAATTTAGTTTTTCTTTAACCAGGGGTGCGCCAACTTGAAATTATGTGCTGTTTTGGCTGCATGTCAGTTCTTGCCAACTACTTCGTGTTCATGACTTTCTTTCCAGCTTGTGTGTCTTTGGTATTAGAGGTAAGAGCAGTTCTTTCTTTTGGAGTCAGTAGAAAACTAATATTTCTCATTACATCAGTTTACCTAAATAGAATCAGTGCCTTGAATACATCAGTACCTAATGTAATACTGACTTATTTTGTAGCTTTCTCGGGAAAGCCGTGAGGGTCGTCCGATTTGGCAGCTCAGCCATTTTGCCCGAGTTTTAGAAGAAGAAGAAAATAAACCAAATCCTGTAACTCAGAGGGTCAAGATGATTATGGTAATTATTACATGATTTTCTTTTTCCTTGAATGTCTTTGGTTCCAGTGTCATATTCTACTTTTTAAAAATATTTTTTCGTGCTTGTTACCTTTGTCCAATTTTTTGCTCTTTCACCGATGTTCTGCCTTCTTCCTTTTTTTTTAAAACCTGTTCTTCATTTCCTTGAGGCTCCTGGTCTTGATTAGACTCTCTACACTAAACAGATTTTCATGTTCCTCTACCTTCTCTCTCTCTCTTTGAAAACGTGTGCTTTGGGATGTTTTCAATAGTATAATGGGGTCACTAGGTTAGTCAGTCATATAGCAAGTTCAGGGGCTTTCTTTGTGTAGTAACGCGGGGCCTGAAAGATAGTGTCTGGTATCCTGTTGTTGGGGATAAAAAAATTAGGTTCCATTGATAGATGATACCTGAGGCCAAACATTTTATCTAGAATAACTCATTCTTGGGCAGTGTTAAGGACTACAGATCTAAAGAACTGTTGTTTTCTGTAACTTAATTTTTAAAATTTTATTTCAGTCTCTAGGCTTGGTTCTTGTTCATGCTCACAGTCGCTGGATAGCTGATCCTTCTCCTCAAAACAGTACAGCAGAAAACTCTAAGGTTTCATTGGAATTGGATGAAAATGTGTCCAAGAGAATTGAACCAAATGTTTCTCTCTGGCAATTTTATCTCTCTAAGTAAGTTAACTGTGGCCTGTTTTGTTACATATTAATCATAACACAGTATGCTCTTATAAGTTTGGTGGTGCCTTTTATATTTCTTCTGAATAATAACATTTTAATTTGCTTTCTTTTATTTAGAATGGTCAGCATGGATATTGAACAAGTTATTACTCTAAGTTTAGCTCTCCTTCTGGCTGTCAAGTACATCTTCTTTGAACAAGCAGAGACAGAATCTACACTGTCACTAAAAAATCCTATCACATCTCCTGTAGTGAACCAAAAGAAAGTCCCAGACAATTGTTGTAGACGTGAATCTCCACTGGTCAGAAATAACCAGAAATTCCATGCAACGGGGGAGGAGGCAGGGATAAACCGAGAAAGAAAAGGTGATTTTTTTTTTTATGCTCTTCATTCTCCATTTCTCCAGTGCTGATTTGTGATAAAGTTGAATCTGTTTTAAAAATTGTGATCTGATGTTTAGTGTTCTGAGATTTCTTTTGATCTCTTAAACAGCTGAAGTTATAAAACCCTTAGTTACAGAAACTGACACCTCAAACAGAGCTACATTTGTGGTTGGTAACTCTTCCTTACTCGGTACTTCACCGATACTGGAGACACAGGAACCTGAAATTGAACTTCCCAGGGAGCCTCGGCCTAATGAAGAATGTCTGCAGATACTTGAGAGTGCAGAGGTGAGGAAGATAAAACAAAATCAAGTTTGGCATCTTTCTTTAAAAAGGAGCTTTTGTGTCTAGGAAACCCTGTGGGGCAGTTCTACTCTGTCACATGGGGTCACTAGGAGTCGGAGTTGACTTGCTGGCACACGACAACATACATATAGATACATGTATACATTATAGCCACAAAAATGGGCTCAAAAAAAGGAGCTTTTGGTTTGAATCACCTGACATTTAATAAAGGAAGGAAGAAGCTAATATCTACTGGTACCTACTACGTTCTAAGCATGGTGTTACATGGTTTACAGGTACTCTTTATTTATTTATTCCCCACAACCTGTGAGGAAGGTAGAATGATCTCCATCTTTTAGATGACAAAGCTGAGGCTCCAGGAGGTTTATGTCATTTTACATCTAGGAAATGGCAAAGCTGGGAACAGAGTCCAAGATTTTCTTACGCCAGAGTCAATACTCTTTCTAGTTTATTACTGTTTGTCATAGAGGTGAGCAACTACTGTATTCTCATACGTGTGTTAAGGCCTGGAAAAGGTTTAACATGGCGATGAGTTCCAAAAAAGGAAAGTTTTGTTTAGTTTTCTTTACAAGTAAGCTTTATGTTCACGAGGAAGCTTGTTTTCCTTTCAGAGATTTGAACAGGATATTCTGCTTACATGACCATATGAGGCCACTCAATGCTTCAGTGGGAATACCGTGTTTCAGCCATGTTGACTTAATCTGGTTAATTTTTAATTTGTGTGCATATGAGTGAGCATGGAGTCTGTTTTTCTTTATCGCTTTCCTTCCCCTCATTCCTGTTAACATGTGTACCAGTATCTAAACTATCTCACTGTATATAGGATTAGCAAAATTTAGAGGGTAGGCATCAGAATCTTAATTGTGGATTTTCTTTTCTGTGAACCTCACTTAAAAATTTTAATGTGTTGGTTATATATTTGTTTAGTTTTCGCACTTACATAAAGAATTTGCTTTCATTTTGATATTCTTATTTCTACTCAAATCATCTTCCTCCTTAGAACCCCAAAGCCCTTGTGTTTTCTTCTTGTAGTAATTGTGTTTTAGCTCTTTTGACGGCTGGTCTTCTCAGCTGGACTGAATCTTTTTGAGGGCCAGGATTTGTACACAGTAGGTTCTAAGTAAGTAAATACTGGTTGATTTCCATTGATCAACCTGTGGAGCAGGTAAATTTATTTTACAGATGAGGTCTCCGACTTGCAGAGGGCAAAGTGCATGGCAGAGTAGGGGAGTGCTGGGATTTATAGCCTGAGTCTTCACTTCTGCCTGTGGGCTGGTGTTCTTTTCTTCATTGCCTCCTAAAACAAGCTAGTTCAGATGGGGATTGAACACAGACTAGTCAAGGATTAATACTTTCAGGATTAATTTGTGCTGCTTTGTTGTTGTTTGTTGCCATCGAGTCGGCTCTGCCCCAGTGAGAACAAGGGAAACTCAGTGAGATGTGCTGCTTCTCTACAATTTAAGTAGCTCAGCAGTGTGATCTTCCAGCCACTGGCTTTCTTTTCTTCTACTTAAAGGGGTTTGGTGTTGACAAAGCTTTATCAGATGAACAATTCTACATTTTTCATAAGAGTGTCTATAGTTTTGAAGCTTCCAACTTCAAAGATAAAAGTAGTCTATTGGTAGGTTAGCTACTGGATTTATCCTTAATTCAACATGAATATATATTTTGGCTGGGCAGAATGCTCTGTGCTTGAATTTGTTTCATCTACATTCTCTAATCATATAGCTTTGAATCAAACCAAGTCATTGTTCTCTGAATACCGGCTCCAACTTTGGATCCCTATGTTCTTATCACCTGAGGTGCCCTCCTGCCTCCAGGTGTTTATATCTTTAGGGCAAATGAATGCAACCTTCTCTTTGAAACCTTCAGTTCCTCCAACTGGAAGTCATCTCTGTTTTTTATCTTTTAATGGCAGTTGTACCTTGCTGACTTTGTCACAAGTTTACATGATTATCTTGATCCTTAGACATCAAGCTCTTGGGAAGTTGAGTCCATGTCCCAAGACAGCCCTGTATAGAATAGGTGCTCAGTAAATTTTAAAAGAATGAATTTGCATTGGTAATCCACATATTAATCTATCTCGTTTAGCTTGATATTCTTTGGAAAAATCGGGTTAGTGTTAATGCTTGCAAAGAAGATCACATATATTTCACCACCATAAACAGAGTTAAAAGCAAACAAACCAGGGGGAAAATATTGATGACTTGTATCCAAGACTCTAGGGCTAATCTCCCTAGTATATAAAGAACCTCTACAAATTGATGAGACTAACAATCCAATTTTTAGAAGCAAACAGTATAATCAATCTGTTTTCAGAAAAAGAAGTGTGAATGACTCTTAAAAATATTAAAAGTTGATCAGCCTCACTCATAAGAGAATTAAAACTACACGAAATGTTTTCATTCATCAGATTATCAAAAATTGAAAGTTTAATAACATACTCTGCTGAGGTTGTGGGGAAAAGTGCATTCTCTTAAATTGCTGGTAAGAAGGGAATTTAACCATATTTATTAAAATGATATATATACCCTTTGAGCCAGCACTTATGGAAATTTATTCTCATAAAATCACACCTGTGTGAAATGATGTATATATAAGGCTATTCATTTCAATATTCTTTGTAATAGAAAAAATGTTCTTTAGAGGAGCAACTAAATTGTGACACATCTATACAATGGAATATTACTCAGGTGTAACAGAATGAAGACAACTCTTCATGTACAGATATGGAAAAAGCTTCAAGATATACATTAAGTGAAAAAAATGTACACTAGTGTTTGGGTTAAAAAGAGAAAAATTATATATAAAATCTGAGTATTAAATCTCTAGGAGGATACACAATAAAGTAAAACAGTGGTTACCTGTTTATACTATTTGAGCATAGGTAGAGAAGAACTGGGTAGACGGAAGGATTGGGAGGAAGACTTTCTGTTATATATATCTTTTTATACTGTTTAATTTTTTAACCATGTGACTATATTACCTATTTAAAACATTAAAAATAAAGTTTTAAAAAATTCACTAGTTTTAACAATAGCTGCTACATGTCACACATACTTGAAGTTTGCTAAATCACATTTTTCTTAATGTGTATTAAGGCAGTAAATCTTTACATTATAAAAGCTACAGTGATATTTATATTTTCATTTGGCATGATTTATATTGAGTAAGTTATATGTCTGTTTTACAAAAACTACAGTGATATAAAAGATCCATATTTTAATTAGGAATTCTTTGTATTAAATCAGTTATTTATTACGAATAATGTGTAATACAGTCTTTCAAATCTTTTGTCATCATCTTCCACTCTCCCCTTTTTTTTGATTTCTGTAGAAAGGTGCAAAATTCCTTAGTGATGCTGAGGTCATCAGACTAGTCAATGCTAAGCATATCCCGGCTTACAAATTGGAAACTCTGATGGAAACCCATGAACGAGGTGTATCTATTCGCCGACAGATACTTTCCGAAAAGCTTCCAGAGCCTTCCTCACTCCAGTATCTACCTTACAGGGACTATAATTACTCCTTGGTAGGTTATTTTCTTGATTAAAGAGGGTTTGCTTTGTAGCTTTTTAATCTTTTTTCTTGACTAGTCTTTGACGTGTCCATAGTTTTATAAGTCATTTTTCTCGTTAAATTATTTTAATGTAATTTTTATTCTGCTTATAATGTCAGTTCCAACTCACGGTGACCCCATGTGTTACAGATTATTTGTCACTGTCACATAGGGTTTTCTTGGCTGTAATCTTTATGGAAGCAGACTGCCAGACCTTATGATGTAGCTCATAAAAATTTAAAATATTTTTCCTGCTGTTGTTTACAGTCATTACTCAAATATTAGTATTTTAAACACTTCTAAAGGGTAAATCATTTTTTGAAAAAATATACTTAAGGATTAAGTTTGAAGAAAATCATTAATGATAAGGGCTGAGATGAGTTTATTTGAGTGTATTTACAATATAGAATTTTAGTTAAAGCCTAACTTTACCTTTTAGGTGATGGGAGCTTGTTGTGAAAATGTTATCGGATATATGCCCATCCCTGTTGGAGTGGCAGGACCTCTGTGCTTGGATGGAAAAGAATTTCACATTCCAATGGCAACAACAGAAGGTTGTCTTGTGGCCAGCACGAATAGAGGCTGCAGAGCAATAGGTGTAAGTTGGTATTTATATATTGGCCTGTTTTAAGATAAGTATACCCTAGGCAAGGCAACAAGAGGAGATTTGGGGACTGTCGAGGGCACCTTTTGGGACAAGCAGAAGTGTTTTCAGGATTAATATGTGCTTCTGTAACATACTCTGCATAGCTTGGTGGAGGTGCCAGCAGCCGAGTCCTTGCCGATGGGATGACTCGTGGCCCAGTTGTGCGTCTTCCCCGTGCTTGTGACTCCGCAGAAGTGAAAGCCTGGCTTGACACAGCTGAAGGGTTCACAGTGATGAAGGAGGCGTTTGACAGCACCAGCAGGTACGTGAGTGCTTTTGTATGTTGGTTGATGTTTATTTCAGAACTGATGCCATTTTCTATGGTTGCTAAACATAACTGTTAAAATATTGCCTTCTTAGGTAACAACAAAATACCAACTTTATATACGTTAATTCAAAATGAGTAATATTAATGCTTGGTTGGGAAAAAATGGTGATCTAAATGAATACAGAGGTAAATTAAGAGAAAAAACTAGTAAGTTTGTATGTTGGTTTTAGAAGGCTCACTTTGATTAGACTGTTACTTTGCCCCAGGGGAGTCTTTGCAAGCAGGATAGAAGTGATTATTAGTGTAGTTGATTCACTTTGAATGCAGAAAATTGAATTTACAAAGATGCATAATGAATACAAATGATACCCTAATATAGTTCAGGCTAGTATGTCTGTCTTCCTTTGGGCTTTTTGTCTATTATGAAATCACTCATAGTGACCCTGTTGACTCAACGGCAACGGGTTTGGTTTTGGTTTATTATGAAGTTATTCTCTACAGCTCCCTCTTGCGGCACTGAAGAATGAGACGGTTGGAATAGTGTCCCTGATATGTTATGTGATTAAAGAAGGGAGCCCTGGTGGCACAGTGGTTAAGTGTTCAGCTGCTAACCTAAAGGTCGGCAGTTTGAATCCACCAGCTGCTCCTTGGAAGTGCTATGGGGCAGTTCTACTCTGTCCTGTAGGGTCGCTTATGAGTCGGAATCGAGACATTTAATAAATAATCTCACGGACTTTCCCTTATGTGTAAAATGAGGTGATTGAACTAGATTTTCAGATAACTTCCATCTTCTTAAGAAAATGAAGTAAAAAAATCTTTACTTCTTTTGCTGACAGATATGCACGTCTACAGAAAATTCATACAAGTCTGGCTGGACGCAACCTTTATATTCGTTTCCAGTCGAGGACAGGTGATGCCATGGGGATGAACATGATTTCAAAGGTGAGCATGAATACACTATATCTGAAAGGGTGCAGAGAACTTGTAAGAGTGGTTATTCCAGGAGAGGGGGACTGGGTTGCAGGAGACAGGGGTAGGAGGCACACTTAGTTTTTACTTTATGCCCTTTTGTACTTTTGAATTTTGTATCATATTACTTATTCAAATAATTGATTGAGAATATTCTTTACAGAAAAGTAAATCTCAAAAGTAAAGCAAAGTTTATTGTGTGATTTCCCTGCTTATAAGGACTATCGGTAGAGAGAGAGACTAGTGACTAAATGCATAAGCTTTAAAAATTGTCAGTAAGTAGTTTTTGAGTATGGAGGTGTGAGTTGTTAATTTTAGTTAACTGGAAGTCATCGGAAGGTTTGTTTATATTTTATGTAATGTAAATAAATCCCAACAACTTTCCATTACTGACAAAGCTGACTTTAATGACGCACTTCTTTTTATTGGCTTGGTATCTTGAGCTTCTAGGTAACAATTTAATGAATAGAAGATGGAATTTATTACATGTTGAAAATGGCTTGAGTTAGTCATTTACCAGTGACAAATGAATATTCTTATATTCTCATTGAGTATTTTTTAATATTTGAATCGTATTCTCATTTTTGTATTCTTAGCTACATGCTCTTCATCAGTGCCTACAAAGGACTTGGTTCTCATACTTGGAAAGAAACACATTAAGAATCTACACTAATGGAGAAATTAGTCACTGTAATGGTTAAGAAAAGAGCTGTTATTTTGTGCTCATTTTCTTTGAAGTATAGCTATTATAATTAGAAATATTTCATAGGTACAAATAAAAGCCTTCTGATCTATAAAGATGAATACTTTGTGCGTTTTAATATAACAACTTAATTCTTGTTAATAGGGTACAGAGAAAGCGCTTTCAAAACTTCACGAGCTTTTCCCTGACGTGCAGATTCTGGCAGTTAGTGGCAACTACTGTACTGACAAGAAACCCGCTGCTATAAATTGGATAGAGGGGAGAGGAAAGTCTGTTGTTTGTGAAGCTGTCATTCCAGCCAAGGTGGTCAGAGAAGTGAGTGATCAGATGAATATTTTATTTTGTTAATCTTCCATTGGATTAAAAAATTGGGGAAAGGAGTATTAACATTTTAATCCAAGTTTAATATATGGGAGTATGTTACATTGAAGATGACTGTTTTATTTTACCTTGCCCATCTGTCTGTGGCATTACAGTAGTAAACGTTACTGATATTCTTTTTATTGAGGACAGGGGCTTCAGTAGGGCCACATCTGAACTCTTGTCATCTGGAGGTAGATAGATGTGGGTAACACTCCTCTGAATCTTCTGGGGCAGAGTGTTAAATGCACACAACTCTGTTTTCTAGGTATTAAAGACTACTACAGAAGCTATGATTGAAGTAAACATTAATAAGAATCTGGTGGGCTCTGCCATGGCCGGGAGCATAGGAGGCTACAATGCGCATGCGGCAAATATTGTAACTGCTATCTACATTGCTTGTGGACAGGTGAGGTCTCCAGACTCCACGTCTCCTCTATTCTGTTGTTCTTAGTGAGGGAAGTATATTTTACATTTTTTCTTTCTTTTTTTCCCCAGGATGCAGCACAGAACGTTGGTAGCTCAAACTGTATTACTTTAATGGAAGCAAGTGGTCCCACAAATGAAGATTTGTATATCAGTTGCACCATGCCATCTATAGAAATAGGAACCGTGGGTGGTGGGACCAACCTACTACCTCAGCAAGCCTGTTTGCAGGTATGAACCATCAGGCACAGTCTCATGACCTCGAGCTCAGTTCTGACTCCCTGGGATTCTGCTTCTGCCTGGCACTATACATCTCACTCACCTTAGTATGTTTCAACTGGTCTTTTGATGCTTTTGTTTCCCATCAGCCTAATCCATTTTGCCCAAATAAGCATGCTCAGGCATATGTTTAATAAATTCAAAAAGTTGATTAAGAGCATATGTTGATTGGTTCATGTACTCTGAGCAAGTGCACTGCCAGCCAGGCTGTAGGTGTTATGTTAGCTGTGGTATATACATTGTACTGGTTGTCAAATCTTGCCAATTATAGTACTTCCCAATAGAGTCTAGTTCTATTCTGATGCCCCTGTAGTTGCCCTTATTTTAGGTGACTTAGCAATAAATTGTTGCTCCTGACATTAAGGGTAAACTTGCTGTTTGTCTCTGGCTGCAGATGTTAGGTGTTCAAGGAGCCTGCAGAGACAATCCTGGGGAAAATGCCCGGCAGCTTGCCAGAATCGTTTGTGCTACAGTGATGGCTGGGGAGTTGTCACTGATGGCAGCATTGGCAGCAGGACATCTTGTCAAAAGTCACATGATTCACAACAGGTAAGACTTAGAGATATAGTAAACATGTTTTCTCTATAGTTAAAAAAAAAAATATGCAGTATAAAAGCTTATCACTGAGATAATAGTTTGAACTTAAAACAATGTGTTGCTGATATTTTGCATATCACTGCTTTGTCTTTTTCTGCCACAGGTCAAAGATAAATTTACAAGACCTCCAAGGAACTTGCACAAAGAAAACAGCTTGAATAGCCTGACACTTCTGAACTGAAACACAGGCCCTGGGTTCTAAAGGACTAACATAAAATCTGTGAATTAAAAAGCTCAATGCAGTATCTTGTTGAGGATGAATAAATGTGACCAGTGAGACGACTGGTTTTGGGCTGTTTCAGAGAGGTCTGAGGTCTTCCTTTCCATGGCTAGTCCTCAGATCCGAAAACAGTTTAGTGCTTTACATGCTGTGTTCTTTGGAAAGATCTCAATATGGATATTATTATGCTTCAAAAGCATCACAGATGGTAACCTACAGCTCACTTCTGAAAGAGAATACAAGCTGGAAAAAAAGTGTCTTGGTGAAATTCACGAAGTTCATGGTGATCAGTGTGAGATTTTCCCCCTGGGCTGAAAATGGATTTTTAAATTATACTGTGGCTGATTTTATAGTTAAATTATTAAGTCTGGGTTATAGAACTTTAAGAAATAAGAACTAAGTTTATTTTTTGTGAACTAATACTTCATTTGGTGCTGGTCTATCTTGATTTTTGGGGGTAGGTTTTAAACATTATTGTTTAGAAGGGGACCTGCTTTCTTCAAGAGAAGATTACTCTTATTCCCAAACTACAGAATAATGTGCTAAACAATGTTAAATAGTACTCTAGCAAGAAAACAAAAACTGCATTTATTGCTACAGGCTGTTTGTTCAGAGAGGTCTCTTGTTCAAAGGTAAATGTTTGTCTAGATTGGCTATACCATGTCTTTTCAGCATAAGGCTTGAAGAAATGTAGTGTTTTGTGCTCTTTACTAAAGATACAGGAGCTCTTAATGTACAAAAGGGTGAGTGTTTATTGAGTACAAACATGTCTGTGACCTCTCAGAACTCAAAGCATGGAAAATGCAAGTTTGAAAGAAAATACCAATTCTCTTAGCCAATGGAAATTTCTTAAAAGACCATTTAGGTGAAAAATCTAGATAATCGTTTTTTGTAAACAATTGTATCAAACCTGTATATGTTGTAATAAAGCTTCTTATGCAAGGAGTTTATTGAAAGTATTCAAGGGATAAATAAAAATCAACTTGTATACTGGTAAAATACTCCAGTTTGGGCTGGAGAAGATAGTGTTCTTTAATGTTGTCCAGAAAACCCTGGCTTGCTTCTCAAGCCTAGTGAAAGGGAAGGTCTGCTTAGAGAGCCAGTGAAAAAGCCACATGAGTGGCCCTGGATGAGTGTACGTTGTTCCTGTGGCCAGGAGGTTGGTGACTGTGAAACATTAACACAGGGCTCTTTGATGGACCCATAAAAGCTCAGCTTCCTCAGGGGGTCAGCAAAGTTGTTGAATCTTAATTTTTTTTTTTTTTTAATGTATAAGTTTTGTGTAAATAATAAAGAACTCCTTATTTTGTATTACATCTGATGTTTTAAATGTTGGTCTTGGAAAGCTGATGTCTCATTAGGAGATGGACTTTGTAAAACATTCCAGTAATACTCTTGGCAGCATGGAGAGCCTCTGAGTAATGGTGTCTGCAGTATTGTTTCGGAAGATTTACCTTTTCTGTTGTATGGAAGGTTTAAATTGCTTCTGTTGTGACTTTTCAGCCGGTGACTTCTTATTTATCTGAACTTTTCACGGAAGTGGCAGTGAAAAGTATGTTGAATGTTCATTTTGGTGACTGTAACCAGTATCATCTTGCTAAATTAATGTTTTGTATAATTGCTAAATTGTATACATTTTGTTATAGAGCACATTTTTCCAGTTCTAGTAAATTACGAAAAGGAAGTTAATACTGATAAGTGTGAGTGGTCACCTTTTTTATATGGAGTAACCCTAGGCCTGAGGCCTGGAAGCTTGTAAAGATTGGCTAGACTAGTGACCTGTAATTCATGTTAGGAGTCCTGTGACCATTTATCATTCTCCATTATAGTCTCCAACTTTACATTAATGGTAAGTTGGTGTTAAATACGCATTAAAATCAGTGGATTTGATTAGTTTTTCACATATACCTGTCACTACTTGTATTCTCAAGTGGTGCTTACTGCCCTGTGCTTATCTGGTTATAACCTGCTGTGTGGGATAAGACTGAGTTTAAAATGACAAATTATCCCTTCCTCTTCCCTCTTAGTATACCCTTTACATCTTTTCTTCAGAGATGACTGGTTACTACTTTACGTGGCCTGCTCCGTTAGTTGCATGACTGTTTGAAAAGGAATACTGCTTTTGAACCGGCAGCATCCTTGGTGGGTCCCTAGGCTTTACAACCCAGTCATTGTAGAAAAGACAGGATGCTTTTTTGTTGTTTATACTGAAAATTTCCTCTGGATAGTCTTAGGTCACAAATACTAGGGCTGGGGGCTACTGGTTCTCAACTTCCATTTGTTTGCAAGCCACAGAAACCAATTCTGGCTAATTAAGCAAAATGGGAATTTATTAGCAGGCTAGGGTGATTGGGAGAGGGTAGAGAAACATGTTCTGGGAAGTGGTCAGAGCCAAGGCTGCTCCTGGGCATCAGGAAGTAGGAATTATGGAATCGACTTATTTCCAACAGGAATAATTGGTTCTGAGCACACTCACTGAGATTATATTTAAAAAGCCAATCATTTATTATTTCCTCAAGATTTATAGTCCTGGAAAAGAGTAGAATTATTGAATGAAGTACTGTCCCATGGCTATACTGAGGTCCAAGAGGAAAGGATATGGTGGAGGAAAGAATCTGGTGGCCCCATAAGCTGCCATAGTGGAAGGTGGGCCCTTAGATTTTCAGCCAGACTACTTTTGGATATTGGGAATGGGTAGGTTGGTTGGGAGGAAAAGGGAATAAAGATTGGGCAGTCAAAAATAGCCATTACAAGCATGCATATAAACTACTGTAATCGCTGAATAGGAGAGGAGTTGGGGATTTGTCGAGCTCAGTATAGCTGAGATTGGCCTCTTAGAAGAGCTGACTCCCATTTACTTGCAATTATAGACCGCCCTTCTGCTGTAAAAGGTGTGTGAGGTTAAAAGGTGTGTGTGAGCCATTAAGAACCAGGTACTAGAGAATCAGTTTGAATTTTTCGCCTAAAATGACCTGTGATCGCCCTGTATGGTCAGCTGAACAAAGCAGCCTGGACAGAAGACAATGAAGGCTTTTCATTCCCCTTTCTGCTTGGGGTATTTGATGAGCAGTGAGATGTGTGTGGCAAAACATGATTTTTTCCCAGGAGAGGATACAGAATTAAATCTAAAGGGAACATCTCACATTGAAGGGTCTGAGCTCAAACGCGAGGACACAGAACAGTAAAACACATTGATTACCGATCCAGAAGTACAGAAGGTTGAAGTGAAAGCAGTAAGTTCATTGTAGAGATTTTTTTTTTCCCCCAAGACTGGAAACTATGCTCAAGAGTATGAATTCTGAAACTTGCGCTTCTGTTTGGACAAGGCTGAAATTTATTAACAAAGACCTGGCCCAGTTAGGGAAGAAGGAAAAAAAAAAAAAGGTAACTTCTACACTAGAAGCCAAGAGAAGATGGCAAATTATTTAGTGCAATTATTTAACAGATACCTTATTCATTGTGGTCTACAGGGAACATATAGACACACAGTCCTGAGCAATATTGGGAGGTGCTGATAGAGCTGTGGGCGGTCAGGATCAGAAATTTTCAAATGGCTGCTCCCTAAGACCTGTAGAATACAGCCTTGCTGTAACAGCCAGAGTTAATGGGCAGAATGCAAAAGAGTGCCCTAATACAGTGGTCCTCAAACCTGAGTGTGCATCAGACTCACCTGGAGGCTTGTCAACACAGATTCCTGGAACCCACCACCAGGGCTTCTGATTCAGTAGCTCTGGAATGGAGCCAGAAATTTGGCAGTTCTAAGTTTACAGTTGCTGCTGCTGCTGCTGAAGTTTGAATTTGAGTCTGACATGCCTGGTATTACTGTGAATGAATGAACAGTATTAGAAAATAGTGTTTATTTAGAAGCACACAGTTAGAAACCCCCCATGGTGTTTTAATAAAAAAATTTGGATTAATCCTAGAAAGATGTAACAACTAACCCACTAGAAAATGTTATTTGGGTATATATGGTGCTCTTCCCCTTCCTCAGTATCACCTATGGCCCTTAAACAATACTGAAGGTCTTCACCATCCTCACGCCACCTGCCCTTTAGCCCCCCGAGTTTGACTCCTTTGTACTGTAACTTCCCAGGATTGCATCACTGGAGCAGGATTGCTCAGAGGCAGGAAGCAGATTCAGCAGACCCTTCTAACTGGTTAATTCTGAAGCCAGTTGGCAGCGAGCCTAAAAGGGGGTGGGCCTTGTACCAACTGCAAACAAAGCACACGTGTTGTTGAGGAAATTCTTGGCAAGAAAGCATTAGGAAGTAATCCAAAATAGATGGGTTACAGTCATCTGGAAACCCTGGTAGCGTGGTGATTAAGAGCTACTGCTGCTAACCAAACGGCCGGCAGTTTGAATCCACCAGGTGCTCCTTGGAAACCCTATGGGGCAGTTCTACCCCGTCCTATAGGGTCGCTGAGTCGGATTTAACTCAACAGTGAGTAGTTTATAGTCATCTAGCCTGTGTTGATTATGGAATCCCTTCCTTTCCTGTTACTTGTGAATTTGAGATGGTAAGCAGGGATTAGTGCTTGGGGCGGGATGTGGTTGAGGGAGCAACTGTCTCAGTCTTCATTCTAAAACTGCTGTGATTGCATGTAGTAGAAGAGTTGGACACAAAGCAAATCCAGAGTATTGTTAGCCCTAAATGACGTGATAGATGGACCAAAGGAAGAGACAACAGAGGAGCTTCTATATTCCTATCCATCTCAACAGTCTGGACTTGGGCTTTTAGGATCAAATCAAAGGGCTCTTAAAATGAAACCAAGTTTTGGTCCATTTCCTGTCTTACTAGCACCTGGTCTAGGGTATAACCTGTGAGAGCAACAGGACTACTTCTTTCTTAAACCTTAAGAAAGAAGCAAAATATACTCCAATCGGTACAGAGTAGACTACCTCTGGCCACGGCTCCTTCAACAGATCTGGATGTTCTCAACACACATTGCACCACTCTTCTTACGTAACCAAAGCTTCAAGTTGGCTTGCTCGTATAGCCTGGATACTGGATAACTGCAATTCCAAACGGAAAGCGCCTGGGGAGAGGCGTACCTTTAGCCTGCTTAGAACAGTGCCTCATAAGGCCAGTGGACATTACATCAAAGAAATTGTGCACACATACATCCAATAAATATGTATTTCTTGATAAATTATGTTCCACTAAATTATGCACATCACACAAAAAATGATAAACATACAAATAAAATTTTATCTTTTTTTCTATACTCCAGTGGTAAAATCATGCCCACATTTTCCTCCAGACTGGGGTCTCTTGAAGGCAGGGACTGTGTCTTTTATTGTTACTTTAGTACTGTGCCTTAAAATTAAAAGCCCTCAATGTTTACTGAATGACTGATACAATAGATAAATATAATTAGCACTTATATCAAAGAGAATAGTCATTCACAACAGGAAGAGGAAGCCAGTGTTGAGGCCTCTCATGTCATGTGAAAGAACACTGAGACCTCCATTCAGTCTGAGCTATCACTAAAGCTGTGAGACCTTAAGCTATTCATGTCTCTTGTTCTCAGTTCCTTTATTTGTAAAGTGAGACAGTTGAATCAGCTGGCTGCTAAGGCCATATCTAGTTCTACATATTCTGTGAAATGCTGTATTTATTCTCTTAACAAGAACACAACGGTCATTTTTCTATTATATTTAGTTTAAGAAACAGCCTAGTACCTTCCACAGATCATCATAAGGACGCTCAGCAGAGGTGGCTCAACCAATCACCTCCCTGTTCGTCATCTCTCCTCAACAGCTAAACAGCTAACTCTTTGCAGCCAGACCCCTGTGGGCTGCCACAGCATTTGCTTTCTGATTCCTTTGCCCATCTGCCACTATTCCTGGCTGTAAGATATGGCATTTCTTTATAAAGTTAAGTCCTAGGGGAAAAGAAGAAAATGGTGTCTCTCCTCTTGGATCTCATCCTTTTTTGATTACCATATCCTTCTTGGAGAGCTTTATCCTCTCCATTTATGCCTTCTGTTTTCAAATATACACCTACTCATTGAGGTTAAAAGCCCTTTCACCCCTCCCAGCTTCATTTGCCCTTTTTCACAACCTATGCATTCTTTTTTCATCACTTATTTGCCTGCATGCCTCAAACATACACAACACTCGAAACTGCTCTTGATTTTAGGCAGGGCCCTGTGTGCTGAGGCGTTCAAGCCAGTTGGACAGATAAACTGAATCTAGCTTATTCTAGCTGCTAAATTAATGCAACAACCAATGTCACAGTAGTTATATAAAAATCCAGGTATGAAGGGAAAAGCACAGACAATAAGAACTGAAGAGGAAAGTTAAGAGGGCTAGTATAGTCAAAGGTCAGAAGCTGGGACTCTGATGTAGGGTTTTGGGTGTAGACAGAGGAGAGCATTTCTCTAGAACTTGAGTACGGAATGCTGAGTAACATGGAGTAAATTTACCTGGCTGGGATGATTTAGTTGTAGAGAGGACCAGGGAGAGTCAGGCTGGTAAAGCAAACTATTAAAAGGGGCCTTGGACATCAATCTGAGGTTAAGGAGTGTGGACACACCCCTAGAGATAAGGGCGCTATTAACTATAGTTAGCAAGGGGCATGATACTGGCAGGTAATTTGACAGTGGCAGGAGGAACGGAATATAAGAGGAAGAGAAGGCAACGAGATCACTCAGGAGGCTCTCAGCTTTACACCGATTTTCCAGCTCTGAACTCTTCCTCATTTAGCTCATGTTTATAAATACAGACCGGACCGCTCAGCAGTTCGTTTGAGGCACTATCAAACATTTTTCAAGTTTTAAAAACTGTCCTCCCCTCCCCATTTCTGACATTGGCTTAGGAATTATTACTTACAAGTAAAAATGACATTATTAACAGCTGACTTTTTCCATATCCAAATAAAATCAGGCACCAAGTCCCACTGATTTTTCTCAGATGTGTAGAACAATAATGTTAACCCCTTCCCCCCCAAAAAAACCCGAGTAGCTCCCACAGCTGGTAGAACAATCAAACTTCTTAGCGTAGCCTTCAACATTTGCCAGGAACTGCCTTCCGCCTTTCCATAGTCTTCTCCCTTACTGGAAACGCCCTGTGGCTAAACCCCAGATAAGCAAGGTGACTTACAGTTCTGCTCAAAGCCCCAGGGTTTGCTTCATGTCATTGTTCCTGTGTCTTACTCATCTTATCTCTAGCACTTAAAAACAGTACCTAGAACATAGTAGTACATGCTTAATAAATGTAGTTGTCTAAAAAATTCCTTACATTTCCATAGTGCTTTAAAGTTGTCAAAGCATTTCAAAATACATGGCCTCATATGTGGTGGAGCCCCCAAACAACCCTGTGGTGAGGCTATGGTAGGTGGTTTTGTATTACTTTACAGAAGAGACAGACTTAAGAGACATTAAAGTGGATTGCTCAAGATCAAAGCTATTCAAGCAAAAGAGCCAGAAAAACTCCAAGTCTTCTGCTTCTCTCATTCCCTTTCAGTTTCATCAAGCTAAATATATGGTATCCAGGAACATGGTGAGAAACTGACTTAGAAATGACAACAGAACATCTATTGGATGTTAGGAACAAAAAGCCAAAGTTATAGATGATAAACAGTATTTTAGTTTGAAATGAAAATGCGTATCAGCAGAGTAGGGCAGTTTACCAATTAATTTGGTGCTATCAATGTGCACAAAAGTTGGTGAACTTGTTAAAACATACACAGCAACAACCTACTTCCTATCTACCTTTTGAGAACACAACTGAGAAGAGTCAAAAGACTTCAGTACATCTCAAGTGCTGCCAAGTCTACTGTCCAATGTACTTTATTCAAATGTCTCTGATTGCAAAGCCTATTTCCTCTTATTTTACATACATTTCTAAAAAGCTTGGTTATGACATCTACCGTTAAGTGAAAGCATCCAATCAGAAGGTGATAATAGGATGCATCTTGTAGAGATGCACACTATAAAAGGGAGCAGACAAAAGCAACGGAGGCCAGATGTTCCACTTATGCTGCATCGTCCCCAGTCCTAGAACCACAGGGCAAGTAGTAGGTGCTCAATAAAATTGTTTTCGGTGCTGGAGAATTAGTGATATCCAAATTGCCCAAATAGTTTGGATGTCAGCTACATCTTGATTCAGCTGCCACAAAGATCTCCTGCTGCCACTTAGGCCTCCCAACTCCAAGGAATAGTAATAGAAAAGAACCACAGTAAAAAGATTTGAGGTGAATACAAAGTTTGCTTTACTTGATACCTCAGTAGTCATTTTGTGGCTCACAAAGCAGTGATAGCTATTCTCGTCCTTCAGTTCAAAAATCTAAGATAAACACCCTCCTTCGACTTGTCTGTAGTGGTTTTTACAACAGAGTCCCTTGTTTCATCCAAGCTGAAGAATCCTGGCAGGAAGACAGTTAAAGCACCAAATGGTGGTGGTCAAATTTCATCTGACTCCCTTCCTATATCTGGTGGGATTTTATAAGACACATGGGTATTTGGCATTTTGTGAAATCAGTACTGAAGTTTGTAGGGCTAAGACTCATACAAAAAGTACTAGTCTTGAAGCATATTGGCTCTTTTTAGCCCACCAAACATCATGTCCTACATATTAAATACATAAGGCATTAAAAAGTAGCCGAGTCTAATGCAAAGAAAACAGACTTCAGAGTCAGGTACGCCCTGGAAACCTGGCCTGTTTCCTCATCTGTAAAATAGGAGTGGCACCAACCACCACCACCACCTATCAAGGTTGTTGTAAGGGAATTAGCTAGATAAGATATAAAGTACACATAGTGCTGGCACAGACACTAAATGGAGTCATCCTTAATCAGCATCTCAACAAAGTCCAGGTGATGAGAAATACCTGATTGGGTACCTTTTAGTAACATCAAAAATCTTCAAGATTTGTTCTAGTACTCAACTTGCAGAAATCCATAAAAGACAAAAGAGAATAAAGAGGCTAAATAAAGTAGCTTCCCTTTATGATACTTGTGCAAGGCTAGTCAAAGTATACAGATGTGGAGGATTCATGGGTAGACAGTGCAAATGCTAACAATACGAGTCCTGCTGTAATCAAGTTCAAACAATGGCAAGAAAGTCCGGAAGATGCTATAATAAACCAATTTGAAATAGCTAAACAGGACTACAGCTTATTTGCAGGTCATATTCCAAAGTCAAGCCTAAGGCAAAAACTGCATAGGGTTAAAATCACGCGATGAAGACCACATACTGTTTCTCTATCAATAAAGCCAACACAACAGCCAGATTTCTCCTCCAGTGTCCCACCAGATTAAGTAGCTGGTTTGTGTTTAGAGGCCATATTGTTTGGACAGTGTGTAGCTCTGAACACTAGGAAAGAAAATTTGCTCATGCCTTTCAAGTTAAAAAGAGGAAGACCCTCAACAAGATGGATTGACACAGCTGCTGCTACAATGGGCTCAAGCATAACAATGACTGTGAGGATGGCGCAGGACCGGGTAGTATTTTGATCTGCTGTATGAGTCAGGATCGACTTGATCGCACCTAACAACAACATATTAACTGACAGCGTGCTTTCGTTTTAGAAATACCCAACTGTATGTGGCTTCATAGCCTAGCAATTAAAAAAAAAATTTTTTTTAATTATGATTCATAAGAAATTCATTTTACATTGTAATCTACTACACATCTATATATACATCTATATATACATGACAAAAGACTCACAAAATAATTCTTACCTTTACTACATGCAATGTACTCTGATATATTCCATTCCATTCTGTTTTGTTTAAAAACAATTAGGTTGCAACTCAATAGTTTTCTTCATTCCTAATTGGTTTACAACCTACAGTTTGAAGAAAACGCCATCAGAGTATTCCTGCCTCTTATCTACTTGAGGATTATGTAGGGCAGTACCTTGGTGTTAAGAAAACACAATCAAGCAAGCACATTTGTCCATAATATTTTAATACTTTTTCCACTTTTAAATACTGGTTTTAATTTTGTGATTGTAACATGGAAGATCCAACTTTATTATTTTTTAAAAACATCATCAGAATCATAAAGCTATTACAGAATAGTTACACTCTACATACTCCCAAGGTATTTTAAAATGATTACGGTTTTGAGTCTGTAGATGAACAATGACAACAATCCAAATACATCTGTACAACTCTGACTAAATACTGGTGGAAAGTGTTAAACTGAACAAACAACCGAAAAGCTTAAACATAACCAGCACAATTTCACAGGAGAACCAGCTCAGCCCAGCTAAAATTTTCTCAATAGCAACTGATACTGATGTTGTATATGTATACAAATTAGTTGATAAAACTGAGAAAATGGGAACTGCATTTCTCCATCTCCTTATTTTGCACTCTTACATCTCTCACAGACATTCCTCCTCGGTCTGGCTGCCCCCACGGCAATCCAAAACAAAGCGCTGTATTTATTCTCTTAACAAGAACACCTCAATATCAGGAGTCCTAAATTCCAAATGAGACACTGTGCTCTCTTGTCCTGTACAGTAGGCACGAGGGACAAAACCCTTTCATCATCAATATTTTTGAAGTTTCTATCAAAGCACAAAAGTGTAACTGAGTAGAAAAGAGAGTAAATGGCTTTTTTTTTTTTTTTTGGCTTGGGGACAGAGAAATAGGAAGTATCTATGGAAGAGAAAACATCATAGATGCTTCATATACAGGAATTAGCCATATGAAAATAATTCTAGAGACTCTGAATACTATCTGAAAGGCCAGTATCTCTCCAGGTATTGCCCTCTTTTGAACTTTTCCTAGTCTCCCTCATTTCTAAATCTGAGTGGGTGGGATTCCCTCTAGTGAAGTACCAGTGCAGCTCTCTAAACGTAAAATGTATTTTTTTTCTTCCTTTTTTAAATATAAATATTTTTAGTGTAATCATTTTATTTACAGAATAAATTGCAAAAGTACATCATCACCTTTAGTGCAAATGCAACTAATGATAATTAGATTTAGATACTGCTTTGTAAACTTTCCATACCTTTGTAAAATAAAGCTATCCAATTTAATTATGAAAACTTCTTATCTGTGTTCACGATAGTTATCAGAAATGGCAAACAGAGAAACATTTATAGTCGGCATATTTTTTTTGAAGATTCCCATCAGTGGCTATGGTGAATAACCTTCCCTCCCAAGCCCTCCCACGCTCCCATCCCAACCCCACAGCTGATTGTAAAATAAAATACACATTTGAGGTATAAACTTTTCTCTTTTTAAACATCACAATATAAAATGTTAACTGGTGATGTAGTAAACTGATATGATAATTTGTCTTATTTGCCTTACTAGCATTACCACCATAGAGGCACTTTTCCACATAGTCAAATTATGAACAGCATTTTTCTGCAATAAGGCATATTCCATGCACATCATTTAGAGAAAGGTAAATTAAAAAATAGAAAAGATTTATGGAGCATGAAATTTGCGTGCATGTAATGTAAGCATGTTTTATATGCATTTTTCTCTCTGTACAGAATAATAAATACCACTATATCTGATGCAAGTAATTCACTTCCAGGATTGTGCATATTAAGTAATCAGACTAATCCCATCATTAAATTATCACCTTGCATTTAGCATTAAGACTCCATTACCATGTATGAAATATATACAGGACATGTTCCACGTGACATGGCTTTCTGCTTTACAAAATGGGTCTGATTTCTGTGTTTCTACAGAGATGAGTAAGTCAACAAAGCATCTACAAAATGCCTCTGATTTATAGAAACACATTTGTTTACAAGTACAATCTTGTTCTTGAAGTGGGCTGTCATTTCTACTTCAGTGAGTACCATTCTTTGCCTGAACTCCACGCTTCAAGGGTTTTCACAGAGACCTAAAACTAAAAAAGGTATTTTACATTTAAGTTCTTACAGCAACTAAGGGAAGCATTTCAGCTTGAAGTGGAATTCTTTACTGCTCTGCTGCAGTTTCTGATCAAGAGGCAAATAGGCACAATGTTCACACATTTTCTATGCATATGTTGCCACACATCTTTAAACCGACCCAAAATGGGAGAACTAACAAACATACCTGTTTTACTGAATGCTAGAAATATTGAATCCATTGTCAAACTCAAAGAGTCTCATTTGCTTTAACAAGTAACATCACATAGTCTTAAAACCTCAGGAAATCATAAGCTCATTTCATCCTGACCATTTACCAAAAGTAGTCTACACCCACACGATTTGCAAAGAAGTTTCTGTTTGGAGGCAGGCAGAGTCAGTTTAGGAATTACCAAACCGTGTTTGTAACAAACTGAAGAAATTCTGCAGCACACAGTACACAACAAAAAATACAATAGAAATATAAAGAATCTGGGGGAAGAAATAAAGCTTTTCACACTTTCTCCATCAGAACCAAGGTTCTTCATGGGAGTAAGACTATAAAAAAGGCAAAATCACAGGTTATTGACAGCCCTCAGTTATTTAAGAGACACTTTACATGACAACATGAATCAATATAGAAATCAGCAGCAATGAATTCTCTGATTATACAAAGCAAAAAAGTCAAAAAATTCTGGGCACAGATTTGACTGTAGGCCCGAAAAAAGAACCCCATTCAGATATCTGGTGCACAGAAAGCACATACCCCGTGTGCGTTCAACTATTGTGCTTTTCTTTTGTGCACAAAACCTGATACAACTGAGGATCTTAGGCTGGACTATAGTAAATTAAAAATTCCGAAAAGGTTTCCAAAAATTAAAGCATCAATTCCTAGTTGTAATTCAAAGTTGATTTTTTTCTCTTCTAGAAGCAAGCAAATAAAAATATAGCCTTATACATGTAACTTTACATGTATTTATAGTTAGATGCTGAGTGAGGAGATCTAGCAGGAGATGGCTAGTGTTAAGATGTTCAGCTTTGCTACTGCAATATTTCTTCATTTTTGTACACAAGGCCAAGGTCTTGGGCCACAGACAAGGCTATAGATCCTACGTTCCAGCTCAGAGCATTCAATTTTGTTTTTTCTTTCCAACATGGAATGTCACACAGCCTTGCTTCAGTCACTGCAGGAAAGAAAATGACAAGTATAAAACTCAGCAATATATTATTATGAACTGCTGCAAGACCACTAGAACAGATTCCTCCCTCCCTCAAAATTTATGGACTGCATAGAACCTCTATTAAAATTTATATGTTAAGGATTTTTGCCTTTATGAATGTAAAATTATTAACCTTACATATGTAAAACTTTTCCCAGCAGGAAGGAATAGAAGGAAGGTATTAGGAATCTGTAAGCAAAGAGGGAAGCAAAAAGAGGTCTCTGGATTTATACCGCACAAACTGGCATTTCTTCTCTCTAGTCTTCAATAAAAATTATGGTATGTAATACAATTTGTCAAGAATTTTAAAATTTATGTAAGCTATAGTAGAGAGGTCTGTGCCTTAAGAAACAAACCTGCTCAGATCTTATCAAATGAGTTCTAAGGTTTTCAAACATCTTTGGACCTCATTAACTTTTTACAGAATTTCTCTAAAGATGATACACACTATTGAAAGTTACTATTTCTTTACCACCAAAATTAAGATGTTAGTTCTCCTAGGGTTTAAATGCTAGGATTCACTATTTACATATATCTACCCTAATTATTCATAAGGTTTTCACTGGCTAATTCTTTTCAGAAGTAGACTGCTGGGTCCTTCTTCCTAGTCTGTCTTAATCTGGAAGCTCAGCTGAAACCTGTC